TAAGTTACTTAACAAGTATGGAAACAGGCCCCTTTGCACCTCATGATTTGACAGAAATTGAAGGATATTTTTTTTAAAGGTAAGGTTAGTAAAAAATGTTCCAAGGGGAATGAATGCTTCTCATATACTGACTGATGAACACATATTGTTGTTCCCGTTTTTGCTTACACAGCCTATGTACTTGCTTATGAAGTAACGGAATTAGCCCTGCTTCAGCAAATAGACTAAAATGATATTTTTGCTCTGCAGACTTTTAGAAAACATGCATTAGAGATAAAAAAGGGTGATACACATTATCTTTCCTGATATGTTCATTTTTCCTGAAATCAACAGGCTCTTTCTTAAATCTAGCCAAGTATAAGATGTTATCCATAACCTGTATATTTCAGAACCTGCAAGAAAAGACTATGAAATATCCATTCATGAATGAACAGAAGTGCACTTTACTCCAGATAAACACCAGTGTGGGTTCACTTGTTTGTTTGTTCAGAAATGGATAATATTGTGACTGGAAACAATGCCTGCCCTGGTGGGAATTCTACTTCTTTGAAAGTAAAGGAAGATTTTACTCTGTCAATTGCAAATTTAATTCAAGGCTTCATATTCTTACATTGTGGGTATATATAATAGAAACAGCATGACATTTTAAAGACTCATCTAATGGTAGCATGTCTTTTTATTTGGAATTTCCTAAAAATTGAGTTTATAAAGCAACTATTATACATAACAGGCAAACATATGTTTGTTGCACATAATTAGATAATAATTAAAGCAAAATATTTAATGTTTCTGAAATTAAATTAAAAGTGAATACAGGCAGTTCTCGACATACGACCATAATTGGGAACAGGATTTCTATAACTAAGCAAGATGGTTTCAAGTGAGTCATGCCTGATTTTACAACCTTTTTTGCCATGGTTGTTAAGTAAAGCACCGCAGTTGTTAAGTGAATAATGAGGTCATTAAGTGAATCCAGCTTCCCCATTGATTTTGCCTACTGGAAGCCAGATGGGATTCAAAAATGGTAGTCACATCACGCTGCAACCATTGTAAATACATGTTTATTATCATTTACCAAACTGAACATGTGAATATGGAAATTCTAAGAGGACCGGCTATAAGTCCCTTTTTTCAGTGCCATCGTAACTTCAAATTGTTTCTAAATGAATAATTATAAGTAGAGGACTACCTGTACTGCGTTTCTCCTAGGTGACTTTTTAAAAAGATCAGCAGAAAGCATGTGAATCTGTTAAAGCCAATTAATTTAAATTTATGAAAAGAAACAAAGAAAATATTTTAGGTATGATATATTTTAGGTAAGAAATTCAATTTTCAGTAGATAATGTTATTCCACATTCCTATTTTTAAGGAAATAAAATGGCTTTTGTATTCACCAACACCCACCCACCCACCCCCCCAAAAATCCCACACTCTTAAGTTTCAAATTCAAGTTGTTTAAAATAAATGGATTATTTTTTTTAAAAAAAATGAAAAAAACCCCTTAACAAATAAAAATAAGTTTAACAAAAAATAATCAGCAAAGTATAATTATTATCACCAACTTAAATATTCTTTGCACAGTCCTAACAATTTTATGACAACAATTTGAAAATTTCTCTGTTATAAAATTTTATTTATATAGGGGTTATAGACAACAGCATGACTATTTGTCTCAGTCTTGGTACAGCTGTGAAAAACGCAACCCAACAAGTTCATCTATGCCTTGTTTTGTCAAGTAAGTAATAAATCTTTAGTGAAAAATTCACAATGCTCCTCAAACTGTCACAAACTGGATTGTAAAGGGGAGCAAACTCAGGAGCCTCAAGGCTGATTTACCATTCTCAATATTTCCTGACAAATGAAGAGCTGGAAACAAAGAACATTTCAGCACACCTGGAAATATTTATTTACTGTATTTGGCATTTAAAAAAAATGCTCTGCAGATTCCTTTGGAAATTCAAGTATCTTTATAAATGTCAGCTATAAAATCAATAAATTAAAAGCATGCAAAGGCAAATTTGCCACAATTCAGTAAAGTAAATAAACTATTTAATGTGAAGTCTTTCATCCAAAATTAAAAGCTAATAATTGCATAAACCTAAGAGTTGGACACAACAGAATGGATATCATCATCATTATCATTTTTAAGTAACTGTTTAATAATGCCAAAACATTATCCTAATACATCCCTTATTTTAAGTAAGGCAAGTTTTAACTATTTTCTTAACTGTGAAGTATTTGTAATTAAAATGAATTGCTTAATTCAATCACCATGATTAAAAAGTATGTTTCCCATCCCCATTCAAGGTACCAGATTTAAAAGTTAAGTTGGACCTAACCAGAAACAAATCTAATCTATATTCATACTACCGGGAGCCCAGAAGTAGGAGCATTTTCTGTTTGGATAGCCCAGCACATATCCCTAGATACTGACAGTATTAACAAAGCTACAGATAACTTCATTTCTGTTTTTTAATCTTATAATCTGTATAAATGGCTAGCTACCATCTTGTCTATGTAAATTCCATTACATATGTAATGTGCAGAATACCACTTGAATAGAATACTGTCCTGAATCTATATTCCTGAACCTAAAAATAATACATTCTTATTCTATTACATTTTTTCAAAATATAGCAACCAGTATTCTATACCAGTTTCCACATGGAGATAAATGTTAGCAGGTTTGCATTTAATCCCTTTCCTATCATGGAATTTGTTTTTTTCCCCCTAGGTCTATGATGGCGAACCTATGGCATGTGTGCTACAAGTGGCACACAGAGCCACTTGTGCCGACACATGAGCCACAGGCAAACTTACCTCACTGCACATGCGCGCGTCTCACAGCTGATTTTTCTGCTGATTTCAGGCCTTTTTCGGCCTCCGAGAGGCTTGCAAAAAGCCTCTGCAAGGCTTTTCAGGACGAATAGGCCCGTTTCGTCACTTCCTGTAATACCGGAAGTGATGAAACAGGCATATTATTCGTCCTGAAAAGCCTTGCAGAGGCCTTTTCCAAGCCTCTGGAAGGCCGAAAAAGGCCTCAAACCAGCCAAAAAAATCAGCTGTGAGGCACAGTACAGTTAAGGGGGTGTGCATTGCATTCCAGGTGCTGGCACGCGAGTGCGCGCGCGCTAACACGCATGCAATTTTTGGCACAGAAGCTCAAAAAGGCTAGCCACCACTGCCCTAGGCACTGCTTATTGAAACAGTATCTTCACTGAATTATCCACTATCACCACAAGTTTTTTCTTAGGTAACTATAGACAGCTCACACTCTATAGCAGGAGTGTCAAACTGGAGGGCCGGATCAGCATTGTAGTTCTCCACAGGCTGGTGAGATGGGATGGACGCCTCCTACAGCACTTTGCCAACCAAAATGGGGTATGGGAGGACCACGGATCCGGCCCATGGCCCTTGAGTTTGACACCCCTGCTCTATAGTATTATATGTGAAGTGAAAGCTTTAGTCCTGGTATGCAACATTTTCTTTTTCTGATGATTACTGATTGTTTGTTCTGTTTAAATAAGTCTGTGATGACCCAGAGCTGGCCACGGAAACAATACAGCCAGAATGAAGACTTAACTCCCTTTTATTGTTCCAACTTCAAGTCCAGGAGCAAAGCTCTAAACACGTATCTCCAATAGTTCCTGGCTGCTATTAGTCCAGAGGAGCAGGACAGTTCTGAGAGTTTGGTTTCAGAGTCCTTGTCATAGGAAGAGTTCCCTGGGACTGCAGCACCACCCGCAGTATAACTGTGTCACTGCAACCTCGCGCGTAGCCAGGCAGCATGGCAAACAAGACAAACAAGACAAAATACAGCAAAGTATCCGGATGTCGGTAACAGCACCTGAGGTTTGTCCTGACAAATGCCCCTCCCAACAGTGTCACTTTAAATCTAATTCCCCAGGTGAGGGGCGGGAACCCTGCTCCCGAGTTGTCAGGTTGCCCTGTGCTGATCCTACCTCCTCTCCATTCTTCATGCTCAGAGATCGGGGGCAGGTGATTGCTCATAAGTGGAACTCTGTTGCTCCTCTGCTCCACTGCCTGCCCTATCCTCCCCTCTCACCTGATCCTCCTGTGCCCCCTCTCCCTCGCTGGTGACACTTCCCAGGCCCAAGGGTCCCAGGACTGCCTCATCCTGGTCCTCTGGTCATTCCTCCATTGGCCCTAGCTCTGTTTCATTCTCGGACTCAGGCTCCAACGCAGTCATGAAAAGATCTTTCTAAAGCAGGGGTATCAAACTGGTGGCCGCTGGGCAGATGCATCATGTGGAGGCTACACCCATCCCAGCTCCGCAAAGGGGAAAAAAACATTACAATACATCATGTGACAACAATGTGACGTGGCAAGTTTGACACCCATGTTCTAAAGCCTTACAATCACCTTTGATTTTCATCAGCCTGATAAATTTACCCTGATTATCTTCTGCATATCTCCTGCAATGATTGATGTAAACAATTCATTCAATTTCTCTACAATCTGCTGTGTAGATTGTTATTTGATGATTGACAATATTTTTTTATTATGTAAAGCTAATAAACTTGCTAAAACTTAGGAAAGCCTACATTTAAGCTCACTCTAACTAAAAAGGCAAAAATAGACTTTTATTTTGCCACTTCGGACTGAATAAATTAAAAGTTTAAAGAAAGAATATAATTTTACTTGTAAGAAAAGGTTTTCTTTTTTTCTTCTCATCAGTAGCAAGCTAGGTTCAGTTTTATTTGTTGCTTTTGAAATATAAGTCTAGGAGACAGTTCAAAACTTTAGAAGAGCAGGTAAAAGGGTGGAAGAAACTTAACTGTAAAGAAACTTAACTGTATTGATCTGCATGCAGCAGATCAATAATCAATTAAAACATCATCCATGTCTTGGCTTGTTTAAAAATAATGAATTTTAATAAAAATTTAAATTCTCCACTGCCTGTAATTCTAACAAAGTCAAATGATCATAAATCATTATTTGGCACAAAAGTAGTAACAAGAGCCACAACCATCACTTACCTTGTCTATCATATCTGGCCGGTTTGTAGCTGCCAAAACTGTCACATCCTTTAACTGTTCAATCCCATCCATTTCGGTCAACAACTGTGCCAAGACACGGTTCGTAACATTCACAGAACTTGAAGTACTAATGAAAAAGAAACCCATAACAGTTTATATTAAAGCATTTAATACTAGAAATTTGTAAATTCTGTTCACATCAATTTGTCTAAGTTCAAATTGAAAGTTCTGTGGAGCAAGGGTCCCAGTTACATTACTTTAAAAAATATCTATGCTTTGATGATGCTGGGATTCACTATTTTTTTTTCTCAAAACTTTATGACCCAAGGATAAAAAGGGGGGGAAAATCAAAAATTGTATCTTTCTAATCTACACCTGGAATACTGCAACCAATTTTGGTCACCATAGCACAAAAACAATGTTGAGACTTTGGAAAAAGTTCAGAGAAAAGCAACTAAGATGATCAAAGGCCCAGAGACTAAAACATGAAGAATGGCTGTAGGATTTGGGTTTGGCTACTCTAAAGAAAAGAAGAATTAGGGGCAACATGATAGCAGTATTCCAGTATTTGAGGGGCTGCCACAAAGAAGAGGGAGGTCAAATTATTCTACAAAGCACCAGAAGGCAGGACAAGAAACACTGGTTGGAAACTAACCAAAGAGAGAAGCAACCTGGAATTAAGGAAAAACTTTCTAACAGTGAAGACAATTAACCAATGGGACAGCTTGCTTTCAGAAATCGTGGGTGTTCCATCACTAGAGGTTTTTAAGAAAAGACTAGACTTATCTGAAATAGTATAGATTCTCCTGCTTGAGCTGGACTAGAAAGACCTCCAAGGTCTCTTACAGCTTCTATTCTATTCTATTCTATTCTATTCTATTCTATTCTATTCTATT